CATGATTACAGATCTCCCTGTGAATTTTCAGTGAGCCTCCGAACATATATCCACCCTCTGCCCCCCGGCTCACTTATAAGGGACGGGGGAAGGTGTTTCCCACCTCCTTATTTCCCGGTGCCTCCAACAATGGTGCAGCGGGAGGAGTTTGCTTTATATCCTGCTCTGCTCTTTTCCAGTTTGTGACCAATACTTCTGACACAGCTTTAGACTGTTTATCCATGAAAGCCTTTGGTATCCCCTTCTGCAAGACCCAATCCCCAGGCTAGTCCTTTTCTCACTGTGTTCCTCACTCATTGTGGTGCATCCTCCCGTCACGTCTGGGGAGGCTTTCTTTCCCAGTGAGAGACGCCTTTGGGGGAGCTTTCCTTCTGTGTGCCTGTCTTTTCAGTTCTGATCTTGAACCCAAGGCAGTAACGGGGCCATACTTAGCCCATAATTAATCAATTCCTGTGCAACCTCCCCCCATGTCCACACCTTCCTGTCTGGGCGATTCCTGACAGGTGTGAGTACTTCTCCCAAGGCTGCAGTAGCTCTTTCCCCAGGGGAGAATATTCATTATTCTTTTGGTGGTTTTATATCAGGTTTTGTCCCTCGTTCTCTTCGTCTGGATGGTATTAGGAAGGTCAGTTTGGAAGCTGCAGTGATCCTTGTCTCTTCAGTGGTTTTGGGGCTTTTCTGGCAAGCTGTGTTAGGGTGGAGTCTGTAGAGAGGATCCTAACAGCATAAGAGAGAACAGGATCTCTGTGAGTCCAAGGGAGTAGTGTCTGTCTTGTCTCAGTTCTGCTTTCTTCTGCTCAACGGCGTGTTTTTTTCTCAGTACAGACGATACCTCATGTTTGGAAGGGGGTAGCCCAAGCACCTGGTGAGGGTCACAGCTCTGCCAACACAGGGAGCGAGGGAGAATGCAGACACCAGAAGTGTTGAGTAAGAGCCTAGGTGCCTGAGTACCGAAAGCTGAAGCATCCATTGCTACTTGTTAGAGGCATGGGAATCCTGGGAATATCTACATGGCCCTGTCACCAAGGTGGCTGGTGCGAGCTGGCAGTTTTCAGGGATGTGCAGCATAGGCATGTGATGCTGTGCTGCTGAGGCAGCAGCTGGAGGGTGCTGTTGCCACAGGAAAGGCTGCCATGCTCAAAGAAGGAGCGCAGTTAAGCCTGAGCTCCTGAGTCAGTCAGTCCTCAGGAAAATTTCATGTCCTGGCTGTTGTGACCCACTCTGGCCTGCGGTGTTGCAGGTCATCCTCCTTTAGCAGAGAGACAATGGTTGGAGTTTCTTTTCTTGCTATTGCTTTCTTAAAATACTTACTTTGTTTTCTCAGTGCCTGTTGCTGAGAATAACTGCTTTTTCTTCTCTTAATCTTCTCTTAGCCGTTTGGAGTCACCATTTCAGTTTCCAGTTACGCCTGGAATTTTGTTTGTCAGAGAGCCAGTGTGAAGGAGCAGGGCCTGGATTTTACCTTCAGTTATCCCTGGAGTAGCTGCTGCAGAAGGAAGCAAGCCTATGGGTTTGGGAGCTGTGCCACAGGAGGACAGCTGAGCAGGAATCCCGGCGTGATAGCACCACATTTTTGCTTTTGTCAATAAAAATTGGAGCAAGCCACAGCTGAGAGATGGTGGCATCTGGTTTATTCACTGCATGGTTATCTAAACCCTGCTAACAGCTCCCAGGAGGATGCCTCACCCCCACCAGCTCCTCATCCCTGACACATCCCACAGCTCCTGCATGGTGAAGTCCTTGTTGCTGCTGTGCCACTGGAGCGAACAGTGGGCAACTGGTGGCCACGGAGGTCTTGCTGCAGCTTCTGCTGCCTTCCAGTGCCTTGTGCTGGCAGGGGCTGCTTCTCCTCTGTGACAGACACTGCCTGCCTCCCAGCTTCTGCTTTTCTTTCTGAGTTTAAGCATGACTTTTGCAAGAAGAGCTTCAGGTAGGTGCATTGCATTATTCAATTCCCTCACTAAATGTTGCCATTCAATGTAGGTGAGAAAGTGTTTCTGTGGGGAGCGGCCAGGCAGGTGGCAGCAGCGTAGCACCCACCTGACAGGGAGCACCTGTCTCTGGAGCACCTGTTGGTACCTGTGTTCCCTAGCCTGAGTTGTGTGGGTACAAAAAAACCTTTACGTTCTTTTCTCCCTGCACGACTTACTTAAGCTATAGGGAGTAGGGGGTCTGGTCCCCTCTCTCGGCTGCTGTCGTTGGACCGTGGCCTGCCTGCTCCCCCCTGCCCAAGGGAGCCACTCGGGTCAGAGCCTGTCACCTCTCCCTGCTGCACACTTCTGCACTTAAATGGAGTTTTTAAGTGACTTTAAGAGTCTTTTAAATTCTCCATTTAAGTGCAGTCATGGGTGGCAGGCAGGCCCTGGCTGATGGAGGGGGTATACCCTGTCACTCCCTAGATAAAATGAGTTCTGTGGAGACAAAAAGGTTCCATGGGGTTTTTGTCCCCGTGCAAGGCACTTGGCCTTGCTGCCCTGGGCCCCTGGTTGCTGGAGCTCTGTTTAGGAGCAGACATTGGTCCCTCAGAGTGAAGCCTGTGACCAGTTTTGGGGTGTTTGGAGTTGGTGCAGACACAGGCTAAGGGCAGTGTGAGTGCTTGACTGCTTTGATCAGGGAACAGGGGCCTGCCGCCCTTCTTCAGTGGGAGTCCCCCCTCTTTCTGGGGATGCTTTTCACAAGAAACGGGAGTTGTGGGCAAAGCACAGCTTTTTCATCTGCGCTATCCAGTCATTCAGGCTGAAACACTGTTTTGCTGCTGGGAAAGCCTCAAAATATCAAAATACAGCAATGTTGCAGACCCCAAAACCTAAATCCGCAATAGGGGCTGTGACAGCTGCCACTTTACTACCCTTTGCAGGGACAGAGACGCAGTGATGGCTGAGAACACTGGGCAGACCAGACCAGAAGAGCTCTCTTGGAGATCTCAAAGTGATTTCCTGAATTTTAAAGCAATTCTTTCCCCCAATTTTGGCTTGGTACTATATTGATTGATGGGGTTTGAGCTTTTTTTCTTTTAATAACAGCCTGAGCGGGATTTCCAGGTGTGGAAAATTGGTGTTTGTTTGTTGCACCAAGAAAAATCTAGGAAAAATAGGTGGAAAGAGTATTGGGATACTCGACAGGTAGTATTGCTAGCTAATCCCCAATAAATAGTATAGGTTTCAGGAGATAATATGGGTGCATAGTTTCAGAAGAAACCATGAAATTTCAGGAGAAATTACAAGATTAAGCCTCTTGATGATGAAATACTGCAACTCTCTGGTCCTTTAAATTTCTTTGGCAGGCTGGGAAACAAACGGATTTAGTACTTATCCCTATTCAAAAACATAATTTTGAAGAATGATTGCAGTAGTTGTTTTGCCTAACAGAGCAAATTATGAGATTCTCTCCAACGTGTATTTTTTAAGAGCAACTAATGACAAGAGAATTTGAGCACTTTAATGGATTTGAATATCCTTTTGCCATTAAATTTAATTGGTTAGCCTGATAAGTTTTTCTTTAGTAGAAATGGGATAATTCACATTAGTCACTTGGGTAGGAAGATTATGGGTAAGGGAAAAATATAAAAAATAATTCACAACGCTGACTGATACTGACTCCATATTTACTGTTTTATTAGCTGGATTTGCTGCTCACTTTAAATTCACAAATAAACAAATTATTTACAAAACCATTTACTCCAAAAGTAGGCGGTACCACATACTTGAAAACAGGAAGCATTTGTCATCACGATAGAAAAGACTTGATTTCAATACACAAAAGTCCATGATATCTTATGTGTAGTTTACATGAGCAGGTATTACTGCTACTGTCACCTGCTTTATCATGATTATCAGTTAAGAAACACCTGTCCTGGAGTTGCACAAAATCAGAATAGTAAAAGCAGAATGTGGGGAGGCAACGCAGAATTCATCTTAAGTTGTTGCCTCACATTCAACCAGACAATGAGCTGCTCTATTCAACCAGTGACTGCCTTGCTGAAGCCTAGAGTCTGTCTCCATTGCTTGCAGAAAGGCAGATTGTCTCAAGAGCTCTATGCTATTTTGGCCCTACTTGTACTTTATTTTGAAGGTGTGCAGAGACTTGGTAAGATGTCTAGGCCTTGTTTAGCAGGGTGGATTTTTTCCCACTAACATGCTAAACTTTTACATGGGTCCCACTGAAAAACAAGTGGAAACACATGAAATTACATCTGAACATAAGAAAACACTTTACTGCGAGGGCTGTGGAATCTCCGTCCCTGGAGTCAAAGCCCAACTGGACACAATCCTAGGCAACCTGTTGTAGCTGACCCTGCTTGAGCAGAGGGGTGGAGTAGGCAATCTGGAGATGTTGTTCCCCACTTCTACAATTTTGTGATTGATTCTGTGAAGAGCTCAATGACTCAAGGCAGAAAACGCTGCCCATAGGGTAGCTGGAGGTGAGAGAAGGAACAGGTCCCTTCAATATGTAGCTGTGCCATTTCCAAATAGATAATAAACAGCGTAACACTCTACATAAAACTACAGAGTGGAATGTTGATACAGTATTCTTAACAAGGTGTCACATGAAGAGACTTGAGTTTTTCACTAGAATGTGAAGCAGTATTTAGCTTTGTAGAGAACGTGCCTTTCATTAAGAGCATGCTGCACATTGGACAATAGAAAGCTGGTGGTCTATAGACTTCAAGGAGCTTCATCATGTGGGGTAGACTGAGAGGGTAAAGAGTGACATGAAACAGAATGGGCTTTTTTGCCATCCTTCCTCTTGTGAGCAGAAGGAAAAGGACACCAAATAGCTTAAAGGTATGAATGATAAGCTCAATGGGGTTAAGAGATTTCTCTAAGAAGAAACAAAGAGGCGTCATTGCTAGGATCAGCAGTCAACTCTTCCATCATTGTAATATGCTTTAATGCATTCATAGACTTTTTTGTTGACCTTAAATTTTAAACAACATTAAAATTAGTGTCTACATCCCAAATTTACAGATGAGTGAACTGAAGGACAACATCAGTCTGAGTTACGGCATTATACGGCAGTCCAGTGAAAAGAGTTCTAGTGGAAATGCATAGTAGGCTGCTTTTCAAGGGCTCTCACCAATGGTGGGTATTCCTCCAGACAAGGGAGAAGCTTCTGAGGAGGCATTATTTCCTCTTCACCCCCTCTCAAAAATATGTGAGATTAGAATTGCAGAACGTTTATTTCAGTTTTATACAGTCTACCTCCTCTGTGACTGGCATTGCACTTGTTCTCAGGTCTAAATCGGTGCTAGATTTGCTTCCATTGTATGTTGATCTCCATCTGAGCAACATGATCTTCTTGAAGTACTTCATGGTGTTATTTTTTACAGTTACAAAACACATGGTGTTTATCATGCTGTTACTCATTGCAATGCATTCAACTATGTAAAAAGCAGTAAGATAATGCTTCTCTTTCACAAAGATGGTGGGGAAAAAGTCACGGACAATTGTGAAGCCATAGAAAGGTGCCCAGCAGAGAACATAGGCAGTCAGGATGCACATCAGTACCATAACAGTTTTTCTTCTGCATCGAAGCCTCTTTCTGATCTGTTCCGTTTGAAATCCTGGTACGGTTTTAAACCAAAGCTCACGAGAAATCCTGGCATAACACAAGGTCATCGTAATCACAGGTGCAACAAATTCAATGCCAAAGATAAAGAGGAAGTATGATTTGTAGTACATCTGCTGATCAACGGGCCAAATTTGACCACAGAAAATTTTCTCCTGGTTTTTCACTATAAATAACACTGTTTCAGTAGCAAAGTATGCAGATGGGATAGCTACAAGTATGGAGACGATCCAGACCAAGGCAATTAGGAAGGTTGCTGTTTGATAATTCATGCGTGGTTTCAGTGGGTGAACAATGGCAAGATACCTGAAACACACAAATTCATTCAAAGTGAAGTCTGAAAAGCACTGTTAGTCAGAACACACTTCAAAATACAGTGGACAGAATTAGGCAGAAGGAAATTGCTGTCATTCTTAAGGAGAAAGCCTGACAAATTTGTCTGTGCGGAGAGTTAAGAACATTTTCCGAAGTAGCAGCCTAGAGCCAAGTTCCTGAATCTAGGCAGAAACTCTGGATTGACTGAAGGATTTGTTAGGACAGTGGGTACTTGGCAATCTGAAAATCTGAGCGTACATTAGAGTGTCTGAGGATGGTTTTAAGACCTCAGTCTTAAACCCTCACCTGTTAACAAGAGCAAACTGAAAAAGTTGCAATTTTGTATCACAGACTTTTCCTTTTTAACATGGATCATGTGTCTGGGAGTTACCAAAAGATGGGGAAGAGGAGGAAGAGAGAATATTCCTATCACTGACAAATATCTTCGCGGGACCTAGCACAATATGCAGGTGATGTCATATCTAGGACATGCCACGATATAGCATCTGGAAATTCTTTGCTGGACGGCACATACTCAAGCGAGAGTTTGAAATACGCAGTAATACACATCTACTCAGGTACAGGTAAAAAGGCAAACATGGAGAAGCAGGAAAATGTTTTCCTTAGGCAGAGTTGTATTTAAATATGCTTTTTTTACTAGGAGGTCAAACATACCTAACAGTGTTTCTATTATTTTCTTGGTATGCAAAGAGCTGAAGCTGATGAATGGTTACAGGTGAGCATGTTTTCAAGCCATCAGCAAAGGACTGTGTATCCATTTTCTGCCCATGCAAATTTTTGTTTCATCTGCTGGAGGTGGCAATTGCTAATTAGTCTTAAATACGCTGTGTTAAATAATACGCCAAACCATAAAACTTGAGTTAGGTATTTGCACTCCTTATGAGTGTAAAGCTGCAAGGTGCACTGCAGCGTTTCACAAAGAAGTGTGAAGAAATGGAAGTACATTACTTGCGAGATCCATCAGTTGCCCTTGGTTCAGTTGAAAAGGGGCTAGGACTAAATGGCATTCACTCTCTGATTTTCTGTTTGGAGTTTGGGGGGTGTGAGATTTTTTAAGAAGCTATAGATGTAAGAAGAGCTTATACTTGAGTACACTGTCCCAGAAAGATTAGGATATTTCTGTTAAAAGGAGATTTTTATCAGAGGCACTCCGGAGGTCCCAGTACAATTGTATTTAACACAAAGAATTGTTTCAAACAGTGGAATTTCTCATTAATTCAGAGGCTTTTTTATCTGTATATATTTTATATATAGATAGCATCCACAAGAGGCATTCATTCTAAAACAAAATGGAAAGTCAGTGGTGCTTTTCATCTGCCAGATCCCGGAAGCAAATAAATTGTTCATCGCTCTTAATAGTGCAGGCTAGATGTCAAGGGACAGCAGAATTACTCAGCCTCATTGTGGAGCTGATAAATGAATATTTTTAGATCAGGTCCTGTGGAAACAAGGTTGTGGGATAACATATGTGTATGCATTCGTAAGTATGCATATCCACTCAGCAGAACTTTTGTCTGGATGGGGTAAATCTCTACAAGAGAGTCAGGAGGGAGCTTTTGCGGTGGATTTTCCTGATTGTCATTGCTTACCACACTTTGGCTGTTACTGCAGAGCCATCCTGGAGCACTGAGTTCAGATTAAACTGCCCTGGAAGATGTGCTCCAGAAGCGTACGTAAAATGCACCAAGTACCCGTGGGTGTTCAGTCCAGGGGACCCAGCTAAAGCTACCCGCCCGCCCCCCCCCACAAAAATGTTTACAGCATGAACCTTGGACACTTAGCAAAAACTCTTGCTCTTCAGATCCTCTCCTTTCACATTGCATTATTTTCTAGTGTAGATGTGGCCTTAAATATGTGAAATTGCTACGTTTCATGTGAATAGACATCAAGGAAGATGGAAGAGAGCCCTGCTGGAGGGAAATCCTGTGGGACAGGCTTCCCCTCTCTACACAGGTGAGTCCTTTTAAATGATTTAAACATGGAAAGACTTTTGTTAGGAGCCCATTTTTTTTAGAGCCCGAAGTGAGTGACCCACATGGCATAACCAACATGGAATGGTTGATTGTTAAATCTATGAGCTTTCTCTCTGTTTACCAAGTCAAAAGCTCACAAAAAAAAAAAAAAGGCAGTGAAACCAAAAACAGTGTGTTCTTACAACAAACTTCAATGATTAATCATTTCCAGGGTTGTTTTTAAAGATGCCTGGGGAGATATGCTAGAAATCTGATTTCTTCGCAGGCATAAGGTCTGAATGACCCATGTTACTTCATCAACCTGGGATGCACTAGCAGAGCTTTCCAAGAAATTTTTTTAGAAGTTGAAAAAAATAAGTAACAGAAAATGGTAATGCATACATGATAGTATTTAGAAGCTTAACCCTGAGTCCTCAGCTGCTGTTGAAATGTTATTTTGTTAGACACTTATTAAGGATTTGTTTCATAGGAGCTGATTGTCCTTTACCCCACACCAGGCAAAACGTCTCTAAACTTCCTCAGAGTCTTTCCACATACTTCTGTTGACGTCAGGAACAGCTGAATCAGCCACGCACAAGATACATCTATACAACCATCAGCAGGGTTAACTGCTCCTGCGCTGTCGTTTGGATCAGGTGCCAAAAACTATGCAACATTAGACTAGAGTGTAAAATGGCAAGTGAGAGAAATTGGAAAAAGGGAAGGGAGGGGTGGGAATCATACAGTGTGTATATGCAGAGTGTATACAGAGTTGTATATTGTGTTTGTACATGAAAGATGACTTGTTTTGGTGGCTTTTCTGTAGAGAGTTTACGCTCCGGGTCTCTCGCTGTCTGTGAGTCAGTCGTGTCAGACTTATGTCAGCTTGAAGCTGATCCTCAGCGTCTGGGTCCGTCAAGATTCTGCGGTGCACAAGGCTAAGACAACAGGAGTCATAAGAAAGAATACAATTAAATTATATTGTTAAAATTCCTGGAGTGAGAGGCAGGCATAGAAATATCTCAGGACTGCAGCATAAAGCAGGTACTGTAGCAGGTGGATATCAGTATGTTCTGCTTACCTCGTTATAAAGGCTGTAGGAAAATCTCTGCTAAACTGGGTTGGTATAGCATTTTATCATTTTCTGCACAGTGCCATAAATGACCTGTTGGTGTTCCCTGGCTTGTTACTGTGCCATCCTCAGAGAGGTGTGTAAAGAAAGAGGAGAATAGGAGAGGAGAGTGCTGGCCACACTCACCAAGCATGCACTTCTGGGTCGGAGCGTCCAGCTAAGACCTCAGTACTATCAAATGGTTAATTTAATGATTGTTGGATTCTCTCAGTAGAGCACAACAGAGAATAAGAAGAACTCTATTTTGCAGGCTAGGTAGAAGTCTTATCTTTTACACCAGAACAAAAGCTGGGAGAAATACCTTAGAGGGAGAAAGAAATATCCTGTAAGGCAATAACCCTGTTGGAAACTCACCTGTCAAATTCTCTGTCACCAGTCAACTGTTTCTCTTGCTGAAGAGTATTTAGTTCACTGTTTATAGCAAAGGTTAGACTCGGGGTAGCTGTGTAGGCCAGTAGTGAAGGTTCCTTAGAGATGCATGGTTTGGATCAGGATTATATAGTGCTGATGAACACTCTCATCTGTGGATCTTTCTGATTTGTCTTTCTCTTTCTCCTCTTTC